TGACGCCTTTTGGCCGGCTGTTTGGACAGACTACTCTACTCGTGTCAACGCGCTAACGCGAAAACATGGCAAACGTATGGGCTCAGAACAGTCTCATAATGCACACATGCACACAGAAGGATTCACACTTGTATTTCATGATCCGCAAAAGGAGTCACACTTGTATTTCCGGATCCACACTTGTGTTTTTCAATGCACACACAAATGTGTTCCGTTTCATATACATGTAAATAAAATCCAAATACAGAAAAAAGTTTTACATATGTATTTTTGATCCTCACATATTTGTTTTCCGTTTAAATCCCCTGAACCTGCAAACACAAACCGCTTTCTGTGCATGGATCGCTGTGCATTCGTGTGTGGGTTTTTTGAGACTCCCCTGACGGTCACCCGATTCGTACTTGTAATTTTTTCTATCTATAGCCAATCAGATGTCTAATAAATTCTAAGCCAATCACATGAGCGCGCCCCCACGAGGGTATGATTTATGGCGTTCATGTCACTTCATATACGCATTTTGCGCTGTCCGGAGCAGGGTTTCCGCGGACAGAATTAAATTTTTCCCGGACAAATTTGAAACTTACCGGTCATGTTTCAATAATAATAATAATAATAAGAATTGTGTAGCAGCGTTTCCGTTAGCAGGTAATTACCGGACTATGACCGGATAATAACACGGGAGTAAGGATAATCTCTTTTCCTCTCTCCCTCCCTCTCTCCTGACAGCCCGTCAGTTTCTCATGCAGCTCGCTAAAACTTCACTCGCGTTTATGTCCATATCGATCAGATCTAGCTCTCCTGTTCGGCCTTTATAGAGAGCACCGATCAAACTATTAAGAGTGAATATCGGCCGATAATGACCGGCGGGGCTCCCCCCCGTTGACAGTTCACTGTGTAGCACTGGCTTCGTAGTGCACTGATCGATTAGGCTAAGCTAACCTGTAGCTGCTCCCTCCACACTCACAACAACTTCATACAGACATAAATAAAGCATTCGCCATACAGGAAAGACACATTTAAAACAGTTTTGCCTGCCGTTTTTATGTACACAAGCATTCATTAATGGTTCGGAAAGTGGCACTGTACCTTAATAATATAAAGGCTTGTATTTGCGTGCATTTCCTGCTCGGAAAGTGGCAATGTACTGAGAGTGGAGGTGTCCTGAGATTAGCGCCTGCAGGCAGGCTCCATGGACCTGTCAGCTCCGGACAGCACAAAATGCGTACATGAAGCGCTACGTCATGAACGCAATAAATCTACCCTCGTGGGGGCGCGCTCATGTGATTGGCTTAGAATTGAGGAGACATCTGATTGGCTAGAGATAGAAAAAATTACAAGTACGAATCGGGTCACCGTCAGGGGAGTCTCAAAAAACCCACACACAGCGATCCATGCACAGAAAGCGGTTTGTGTTTGTAGGTGCAGCGGTTTTAAACGGAAAACAAATATGTGAGGATCAAAAATACATATGTAAAACTTTTTTCTGTATTTGGATTTTATTTACATGTATATGAAACGGAACACATTTGTGTGTGCATTGAAAAACACAAGTGTGCATCCGGAAATACAAGTGTGAATCCTTCTGTGTGCATGTGTGTATTATGAGACTGTTCTGAGCCCATACAAACGAGCTTTGTCCACATCGAGTCTTGTAGAGTGTCTCTATACTCTCTGAACGCTCCGTCCCCGGCAGATCTCTGTGTGCCGCTGCAGCGTGTCTGTTAGGCCCCGCCCCCGCACACAGAGAGAGAGGGAGATCGCTCTTCTGGAGTGAAGAGAGCGGAAATAATGATATTGCAAGTTAGAAATGTAAGATGCATTTTGACAGACAAGACGGACACTTGGGGGGAAATACCCTGCATTTTGAATGTCCGATAGTCCACCATTAACACCTTAGTCCCGTCTCGTCTCGTCAACGAAAACTAAATATACATTTCGTCAAATTTTCGTTATCAAGAATCTATTTTTAGCTCGTCATCGTCTCGTCTTAGGCGCCGTTTACACGAGGAGAAAACTGCTTGTATCTGCATAGTTTCGCGTGCGTATAGCCCTATTATTTACACGAGGCCGATAGAAACTGACCCCACAAACGATAACGGGTCCCAAGGTGGATAGATTTGCAAACGAAACGCTCTGGAGGGTCAACCGAGTCCGTGTAATCACCTCTATACGAATATTTCCTGAAAAAATAGCGAAAAAAAAAAAAAATAGCACCTCCTGCTCACTGCTGTAGCAACCATCAAAAATAGCTGTGTTAATTAAACGCACAAGGGGTTCTTGAATGAAATAATATTATAAAAGGCAAACCAGAATTGTTAACGCCCAATATACTCCTTAAACAAAATAAACAGAGTCAGATTTCATGCATTGATCCATTATATTGACAAAGGTGCATCTCACCCGGTGTTTGTAGAGAATATCTCTCTTTCTGAGCCGTCCTCTCGATGCAATATCCACAGAGACGTGCTTCTTGGTTTCTTTCAGTTAACTTCCCCGTTGCATTTATCCATATGCTGAGGAAATGACTATATCCCGCTGAATACCAGCAATCGCCACACACACTGACTTCCTCCTGTCAGTAGCTACTGCTAGTGCTACTGCTACTGACCATGCTACAGGTATTAGTGCAAAAATATACAGCTCCTCTACCACAACCATCAGCAACAACAGATTCGGTTTCTTTCAGTTTCAGTTTCAGTTTCAGGGCTTAAACAGAAGGGTAGCCATGGCAACATTGCTGCGGGGCTGCTCCAGGCTGCTCTTCTTCGCGGCTTTTGGTGTATTTTGGCGGAAGTTACAGCGCCACTTACAGTCCCAGCCAGTGGCGGCCGGTGGTCTTTTTTTTTTGGTGGGGCTCTTGACGTACCGAAATGACCTACCCGGGGGGTCCGGGGGGTTTCCCCCCGGAAATTTTATTCGAGAAATGACCCCTTAAATGATGACTTCTGGTGATGTTAGAGGGGGGGGGAAAGGAGAAATCGAGGCTTAAAAATATGAGAAGACTGATCAATACCTCCATAATCTTCAGTGTGGAAAATATTATTTATCAACCTGAACATCTACTACTTTACCAGGAATTTGTGTTCTCAGAACTGGTCTGTTTTTTTCTTTCTTAAAACTGTTCATGTTTTATGAACCAACACCTTCACCAAGTAGCTTTACAGTGAACTGCATGTGAGATATAAAATTAATAGCATCTTTTCAGTAGCATTAATTATAAATATTTAAGTGGTTCAATACAAGTCACTACAGCATTTCAAACTGAACTGTGAATAAATGCAATTTAAAAAAAATAACCACAGCACAAAATGTCATAAATTGTGTTTTTTCTTTGTTTCTCTGAGGATTATTTACAAACAGGCTTATTTACATATAGCAATAACTCAGAAATGAAAAAGCTACATCGTCTAACACGAACAACCACTTAGCATAATGATAATATATGTGTTATGTACAATGTAACTGGCAAGGCTAGAGCAAGAAAGAACATAAAGTTTGCAAAAGGTTTAAATAACTTCAAGTATCTGTCTTCAGATTACGTGGAGGTTTTAGTCCGATGGGAAGCAGATTTTAAGCGACACCGAAGATAAACCAAAAATGTGGTGGAGCTGCAAACCGTGTAGTGTTGCTGGGACAGAACAGGAGCTATAACCGTTGGAAAATACATCACAGACAATGCAACAAACGTGGAGACAGAACAATCACTTCTGTGATAAATGCCCACTTATTAATAAACTTCTAACAACCATGGGAAACCTCCTCTCTACATATAAAGTGATATCCAAGCATGGGAAACAAAAGACAGCATTTACCTGTTTGCATCCAGCTAGCCAAGCCTTTTTTGTGTACCAGCTACTTGCGAAGCCTCGTGTATACGTTTTGTCTTTTTCACGAGATTGCTGCGATATATTCAAATCGGGTTGGTCCGGTCCAAGGTCTTTAAGCAACAATTTATCTGCCAAACTTCTCCTTTCGAAAGGATTGGAGATTAGCTCTTGAACAGAATTAGGCGGGGACCGAGGTCCGGAGACTCCACCTGCACACGAAGCCATCCTCATCAACTACTGCGTCAACCGGATACGAGTCACTGTCCAAACTACTCACAGACTGCACTGGGCGCTGACATTGGCGCCCGGTGACCGTCATCTTTGACGACGCTGATTGGCTGAAATTATATTTTCGCGGCATAGTTTACACGTTACAGATAGCAACAGTCAGCTGCTAGTGGCTGCTGCTGCACTGGTTGAAGGCTCCTCTCTTAGCGCCCAGACGAGAGAAGGTGCATGGGCAAGGCCAGGCAGGAAACATGTGACTTATCAGTAACTTTAGACATCGTAACACAATTTTAAACGAGATTTTATTGTAGATTATACATTTTACTGATACCAATTATATAATATTTACCTTGTTCATTAAAAATAAAAATAAAAATATATATATTTTTTTAAACATATTTTTTTTTTTTTATTTTAATTTTTTTTTTTTTTTTTTTTCAATATGGGAAGAGGTGGGGCGGCGCCCCTAGCGCCCCTATGGACCGGCCGCCACTGGTCCCAGCATATGTACTACAGCGTTTCCAGCGGCCTCGTTTAAACAGACACGTTAAATGAAACAAATGCATGTGAACGGAAGACTTTTTTGAATACGCATACTGTGCATAAACGCAAACGGTCCCGTGTGAGCGGGGCCTTAGTCATGTAAAAAAGGTCGTTGACGAACATTTTTCGTCATAGTTTTCGTTGACGAAATTAACACTGCAGCCCACTGCTTTATACACAACACAAACATGTGTACTGGTTAAAAAGGTGGATTTTCAATAAAAAGACAATCTAATCGAACTATCTATGACGTGTTAGATATAGCTAAGAGACCATTACCTTCATTTAAACTAATCATAAATAGATTTCTGAATGGATTTAGGAAATGATAAGCAGTCACTGGCCAGTGTCTGGGTGTTCATCTAGGATATACGTAGATATTGATTATGGAAGTGTTCTCACCAGTCTCTTTGGCTCTGGTTTTATCGTTGTCATCTTCCTCTTCTACTTCTTGGATGAGGATTTTTTTGCCTCTGCTTCGCTGCTCGGGTTGACGTTCCTTCATCTTCTTCTCAATTTCCAATAGAAGTTTCTATATCCAAAAACAACTCACACATTATAATGTGTCTACCGTATCATCCAAACACCACTGACCTATAGTGGTAAAAGGAACACCTTCTGATTTATCTGAAGTACATTGAAATCCTTGAAACATAAATAATGGACATATAAACAATTCCCTTTAAACAAAATACATATGTATACAAATACATATAAAATACAATTACATACAACAACTGAAAAATTACACCATTCTCTATTTACAGGAATAACAAACTACATGGTAGTGCAGTAGCTGCTGTCAGTTTTAAGAGCCTGGTCTCACACAAATACAGGGACACCTAGTGGACCAACCGGCTGCAGGCATGTGTTCACCATGCGTCAGGCTGCTGTCACCCACCGTGGCTGCAGCATTCTGCGGCTCTTCCCTTAGCACCACCCTCAGGTCTTCAACAGCCATTTGGAAGTTGCCCATGTGATTATTAACTGTGCCACGGCGTAGCAAGGCTAATGATAAAAGATAAATCACAAACAGTACAGACATTACATACATTCTTTCTTTACATCCTGTGCTTTAATGAGCTATAGTGAAACAATTAAATGATGCCAATAATAAAATCATTTTTCTGTTGGCATGTAACTCCATTAAAATGCTACTTTACAAAAACTATAAGCACCTTTCATATTGCCAGGCTCCAGCTCCAGTACCCTCTCACAGTCTCTCATGGCACTGTGCCAGCTCTGGAGATGTATCTGTGCCTGTGCTCTGTTGTTGTATGCAGCCACAGCCGGTTGAATGGAAAGACTCCTGTAATGAAAAGCCAGGAATAAAACAAACCTTTATTTATGAAGAGATGAATGGACAAACACTTTACGAAACAGTATATGGGAATGGAAGCTCTTAAATGCACAACACACGTCTAATTAAATGCCAGGAAACATAATAAGAGATGTAAGATATGTTTTATAATAAATGAGTTGTTTAATAGCCTGACCTGGAGTAGTATGCAACAGCCTCCTCATAATCGTTGGCTCTGAAAGCTTCATTGCCTTTCTCCTTTTCGCGATTTGCAAGAAGCAGCTTCTCCTGTTGTGTCAGCACTGGACGTTTTGGGAACACATATTTCAGACAAATTCCCACATACTTATTGTTTCGATATGACCACAAAATAAATATGAGTTGCTATGCGTAACACCTTACATGAGGCATCCACTTTAGTTTTGATTTTGGGGTGTCCCTGGTTTATAATGGCAGGTGCATCATGTTTATCCACATTTCTGTCAATTTTTTCAAACTCTTTTTCGACATCAAACCTGGAAATAAAGCATTATTTTGGAAAAATTAGATATTCTGCAAAGCAATGCTGCAGCATCAATCATTTAACTGTTGGTCATTGCTATGAAAGAAGCTTTGCTGAGGCCATTTCACACAGTTACATCTCTGGAGCCTTTCATGTACAGGGCCTGCTTTGACAATGTGTTCTTTCTTCTGAATATAAGAGACAAATGTAGAGACACAATTACTTACTTGTCCCATTCTCGATAATCACGTGGCAGAGTGTGTTTTGAAAGAGTCCTCTTTTCTTTTTTAACTGAAGTCTGTAATGAAAGGAGACTCCATTTTGAGTATTTGTCTTACTTAAACACTGTTGCGTACACAGGTGGAGACTGTTTACCTGACATAGTGGAACAGAGCAATTGGAACCTCTTATAGGTGGCATATTTTCAAACACCAGAGCATCAAACATTGACTGCTGTTTCAGTGAAGTCTCTGACGCTTTGGTTTCTTCTTGCCATTTCTGTAAAGAAAAAAGTATTTATTTGAAAAATGACTTTATATCCGAGACAACAGTGAACAGGATTATTTAAAAAAAGGGATATATTGCATGCCTTCAACTCATCAGCAATTTGGCTCCACTCATCATTTGGAAGGCAAGCCGCTGTGGACACAGGCTTTTCCTTCCTGAGGGCCAGGCTCCTAGGGTCCAGTTTTTCCAAGTGATCCTCACAGAACATAATTAGATGAGGATAAATGCCCTCGTCGCCAGACCTTTACACAAAGTAAAATATTATTTTCTTAAAAGTATATTAGACTGTATTGAGTCATGATCTTGTCCTTTATCCTTTTGCAATTGGTGGTAAGTGGTATGATTTCAATATGCAAGTTTCAAGACATGAGAATGATCTTAAGTGAGAAAATCTAACCAACACTATGGAATTGATTAACAGAGGTGGGAGAATTACTCAGATCTTGTACTTAAGTAAAAGTAGAAGTACCAGAGTCTATGAATAAGAAATTCAGTATAGAATACTCTGTAAGTATAAGTCCTGCATTCAAAATGTTACTCAAGTAAAAGTAGAAAAGTATTAGCATCAAAATATAGTTAAAGTAGCGACTGTATTGATTGTGCAGATTGGTCCATTTCAGAATAATATATATGATATGTTTTATAATGATTGATCATGAAAGTGTTCTCAAAGCTGGTAAAGGTGCAGCTAGTTTGAATGACTTCGTATACTGCAGGGTAGCTTGTGAATTTACTATTTACTATACTATGAATTTATGCGGGTGCCAGGAAATGAACCCAGCTCCCACTGTCCGCTCCTCGCAGCAGCGAGCCGCGCAACGTCCCGCCAACACGGCACCCAGACCCCACGCAGCATTCTCATCTGTTTGTCCTTACTGGTGTCATTTTCTGGTTGCTAACGCCATTGTAACACATAATCACTGATGTTCCTCTGTAATGGTGGTAGACCATAGTGGTAGACTCATCAGAACTTGTGGGCGAGCTGACCAATCAGAGCACAGTGGGCTCACAGGGAGGGGGGGGGGGGGCAGGAGCTCCAACAAGCCATTTAGGACAGAGAGTGAATACACATACTATACAGAGATGCTGTATGAGAAACCAATGTGAGTTTGGAAAATTGCACAATATAAATCTATTCTAGTAGACCTCAACAATGGAATTATGATTAGTAGAAACAAATGGCCATGACATGGGACCTTTAACACTCAACCCCAGTTATGTGGCTTCTACCTGAGCACCGTGCAGATCTTCTCTAGGTATTTTACATCTTTGCATTTTCCAATGTAGTCGTAGTCCAGGTGCTCCACAGGGACGCTGCAGTCCTGAGGGGGGGGGCCGGTGGTGAGGGGGGGCCAGGTGGTGAGGGTGGAACGATGCCTCTGTGTGGCTCATATCTGGAACAATACCACTGTCAGTTATTTCTCAAACAATGTTGTTCTGTTATAAGCAGGTAGAAAGTAATACAACATTATAAATAACTATTTAATTTAGATTACCGTACATTTATAAAGGTTAGGCTAAATTACGTAATGTGATCAAAATAACGTGAGTTAGAAGTTTGTTTTTGAGAAATTAACAAAGGAATTGCCAAATCCTTCTTTACAAAATCTAGGTGTTCCTCTTGGCTGATAAACGTTATTATGCTATTGAAAAACGAAAGAAGTGTATTACCTGCGGCTGTTCGGTCTCTGTAGCTGAACAAACTGTTTGTTACTATGGAAACCGCAAACGGAAGTAATCTGTACTCCAGAGCGGAAACACGTGACACCGTCGACAGAGGGCTCCAAATTTGAAAACGTGGTTGATCAGTGGCTGCCCAGTGCCCTGCAGAGGAACGTGTAACAGAAACAAGTGGTGCTCAACCCGAGACCGGCCGGAGGACATCACTGCACACAGCTCTGCAGTCACTTGTCAGACTTCTGTAAGTATGTTTTTTTCAAAATGTATGTTTTGCTATGTTTGCAATTTGTGCTCCAATGACTGTATGTAGCTGCTCCCCTAATGTTCCACGTTAAGCAGCTGAACGACACCCAGATGTCTGCTCGGCTAACGGCAGCACACAGGTGATTAACACGGGGGATTCCCATCATGCGGTTGCTATGTTAAATATATTTGAGCGCCGCCTTTAAGTTAATTAATTGATGACATCTTCCTTCCTTTTAGACTGTATTTTGACATTTGTTAGTCTTTGTGCGTGTTAATGTTGTTATTATATATGGCCTTTCCGGCCTCCGGGCACGAGGACCAGATTAATGCTAACAGCTATTTCCTTTATGTTGGTCTGTGAACACACACAGTGTTGGCCCGTGCCTGGGTCCCCGGGTCCCCTGGCAGCAGTGTGTAGCTCGAGGGGCCAGTGGCGGGTTTTGGCGGCTGTAGCTCATTTTATAGCGGCAGCAGGGAGAGTAGGCAGCGGGGGGGTTAGTGGAAAACGCCTCTCATAGCAACGCCAACTGACCTGGGACGCTGTGTTCAACAAACTGCCGATATACACGCTGAATCTACTTGTATACCTCAGAAGAATATCATTTGATCATTTTGTTCATATTTTGTGTACACCTATTTACAAAAACGGTAAGACAACGCAAACACAGGGAGCATTTTAGCCACCTTACCTAGCTTAATCAACTATTCTCACTTCACTTCCAGAGGTGGGACTCAGATCTTGTACTTGAGTAAAAGTAGCAGTAGGCCTACTCAGATCTTGTACTTGAGTAAAAGTAGCAGTAGGCCTACTCAGATCTTGTACTTGAGTAAAAGTAGGATTACTCAGATCTTGTACTTGAGTAAAAGTAGGATTACTCAGATTGTGTACTTGAGTAGAAAGTAGAAGTACGACAGTGTAGGAATACTATGTACAAGAAAAAGTCCTGCAGGGTAGCTTGTGAGTTTACTTCAGGTGGAACTAAAGTCTGATTTAAGAGTTGATTATATTTCACATCAGTAATCCAGATCTGTAAAGTACAGTGTTTCCCACAGAATTTGATTCTATTTGTGGGGGCACCCCCCTCCTCCCATCAATGTATGGGAAACACTGAAGTAACTAAAGGTATTAAATAAATGTAGTTGAGTAAAAGTACACCATTTACCTGTACAAGTATCTCAAAATTGTACTCAAGTACAGTACTTAAGTAAATGTACTTAGTTACTTCCCACCTCTGCTCACTTCATGCTTTGCTGTCCCTGAGGATTCACTCATGTTTGTTGTCTGCAGGTCAGTTCCCATCATCCCCTCTTGGAGAATTCGGTGTATGGGACAAAAGTGCAAACGGGAGGAGGAAAATGCAGTGCACTCCTGAATCCAAAGTGTTCCTGGAGAGTCTCAAAGAGCAGCAGTGTTTTGATGACTGCGCTGACAGCGGATACTCGGGTCTGTTCCACAGCCCTCAGAGCCTCTCTGCTGTGCTCTCCTGTCCAGCCTTATCTCCAGTGGAATTCAGCGAAAGGCCAAACGAGAAAGAAAACCTCTGGCTTGCAGTCACACCTAAAGAGAACACCAGAGAAGCAGTGGAACGTTTGGCTAAAGACTCCAGAGTAAAACAGCGGCCCACAGCAGTTAACTGGTGCGAAACTCCTAAAGTATACAAGAGAGATGCCTCGTTGCGACACAGACTTCTGCTGTCCAAACCCTCCACGGACAAAACTGACAACACAAGATCCCCATGCAGCAGAAGGACTGAATCTCCAATCAGAGTCAAGTCTGAACACTGGCTCAGTGCATCGTTTGACTCTCTGGACACTGTGGTGGGGGCTTTTGCATCAAGCACTTTAAAATCCCAGCAGGATCTGCCACTATCTGGTAGGAAATGTCGTATCCTCTTCACCCAAGTAAGGACCTCCACTCTTGAAGATGGTAAACTCAACTCCGGTAACCTATCCAATTTTGAGGGAAGAGGTTCACTCGCAGATGCAGATTTCAGTGAGAGCATTTCTGCCTCTGATCAAGGTCATAATGAAACTTCATGCTTTATGAAATCCCTGCCTGCTTCTTCTAAGGAAAACTCTCAATCACCAGTCAGCCATGTGGCAAATAACCTATATGACAGCTCAAGTGGCTTGTACACCCCGTCATCCTCGCATACACCAAAATATATCAGGTACTTACTTTTTTTTTAAACTTGAATTTCTTGATTTTGTTGTACATTTTCTTTTATAAATGCTTGGAAAAGCAAATAATAAGGGCATTTTTGCTTAAATATTCAGAAACCTGCATCTAACCCCATTCTACCCCTGGAACAGGTCTGTGTGTGAAGACAGTGGTTTTAGTTCCCTGGCCCTTGATAAATCCCAAGACTCCTCGGTGGACCATGACGGCTCCTTCCTGGAGCTGCTGCTGCTGTCGGCCTCTAGAGGAAGCTGTGACACCCCCAATCTGGCAGAGGCAAGGCGGCGCTCCCGTTTACAGCGCCAGCACAGGCTCTCTACCCTTAGAGAAGGGGGCTCTCAGTCTGAGGATGACCCAGCGGAAAGAAAGCAAGACCGTCTTTACAGCCGTTCTAAAGAAGATGAGGTTTTTGCTGACGGTGCCACCCCTCGCAGCGTACTTTTTGCTAAACATAGTAATAGTGTGATGTCTGATTTGGCCATGGCTAAACAAGGTGATGCCTCTCCACTAAGGGAAAATACAGCCAAGCCAGAAAACATGACACCTGCTAATCCAGATCTTAGGACAACCCCAGTCAATCTGTCTCTGACTCCTGCTCTGCAGCTGGTTCATGCTATGTGCCAACAGCAAGCGCACATGTTTTTTGGCCAAAGTCCAAGTCTGAAGGAGCAGTTGAAGTCCGCTGCAGCCCTGGCTGAGACCCCGGTGACCTTCAGGACCACCATGCCTTTGGCAGGGCTCATCGGCAGGAAGATGGGCCTGAAGAAGGTGGACATACTCTCAGAGCTGAAGAAGAGGAACCTCAGGCACATCCTGGCCCTGGTCCTCAGCCACCTGACCCCGCATGGCATTTACAGGTTCAAGATTTTTACAGAATTAGCTACCTGAACATTTTGTTAAATCTATTGTATAACTCGGCACTCCTTCCATATGTCTCAAAGGTTAAAAGTAGGTTGATTTGCAATGTATCATTCATTAAACTGATAGTCATTATTTGATGGCAGCATTAATTTATAGATAACTGTATGAAATAAATGATATACTCTGAACAGAATCCTGAAGAATTCATACAGCATATCATTGAAGCTTATGTCAGACCGGTACAGGCTTTTAAAATAGTTTTTATTAAATGAGTGCAAAACTTGGTTATTGCTCGAAACATGAGGCCTGATAAACAGCTAGTGTTAAGGGGTAAATTGTTGTCATGCATGCATTTGTTTTTGTTGGGCAGGTGTGGTCAAGTGTGCAAAAAATGGAATGAAATCATCCAACAAGACAAGCGAGCGAGTTTCAAGAGAAGAAGCCACCTCAGTGAAATGGAGGCGGCTCTTGAGGTTAGAGATTTGATATATAACTGTTGCCATCTTCCTGCGTATGGAAACAAAAGCAGATTTCGTTGTATTGTAATTCAGTGTAATTGAACATTTGACACCCAGTTTATTAATACTGTTATAAACATTTGTTTTCTAGAACGGCGGGGGTCTCCATGTCCCTGATGCCGACACCAGACTGGCTCTGCTCAAGAGGTCGGCCCTCAAGACGGTTCAGGCCCAATCTAGGTCGTTCAGCTTCTGCACCCCCCAGTCAGCAAATAGCACTTTAACCCCATCAGGGCTCAGCACCTTGAATTCAGGCAGCAGCCACAAAAGGGACAAATTTCTAGAAGTGAGTCTACATTTTTTTATAAAACTGGATTTCCTTAAATAGATTAGATACATTACATTATGGTCTGTATTGATTGCTGTTCATTGAAGTATGATTGGGGTTTTCTGATCAAAAATATTTGTATTGTTTCGACAATGCATAACAGTGTTTGTCATTTAGAGATGGAAAGCAAAATATATTCATACAAATGAGACAGTGGTCTGTACTGATTGTATGTACAAAGAGATTTTTTTTATTTTACAAAGAACACAAACAAACAATAACAACAACTAAAGTAATCTCCTACATTCACTACCAGTGAGCCTCATACACACGATTATATATCAGGAACATTGTTAGATAAATATATATGCATATACATACATGCATCAAATACCTATACTCATACAAATTGAATGATTGGGGTTTTAAATGCATCTTACTGAAGGGACTGGTCCGGGAAGTTTATGTAAACTTAAGTAATTTTAATATTTCTTTCAGGTTGCCAAAACGCTCTTCAACGATGAGTCCCTGAAGCCATGCCCCCGCTGTCAGAGCCCCGCGAGGTGCCACTCGGTGAAGCGGGAGGGGGTGTGCAGCACAGCGGACTGCGCCTTCCAGTTCTGCGCCGCCTGCCTGTGTGCCTTCCACGGCTCCAGAGAGTGTGGCAGCCAGTCTGCAGGCCGCCGCAGGAAGGACATCATCCTCCCAGGGAGCGCTCAAAGCAAGCGAAATGTTCGGAGACTATGAGCACAAAGTGCACTGTCATTGTTTTTTGTTATGCTGCGGTCACTTTAGCTTTTTTCTCTGCCAAATGGTGGAGATGAGGCTTGGCAACAAAGAGCCAGTACAGGAGAGCAACTTCTGTACTTATCCATGTGTCTTTGTGCCTGTCTTTGTACTGTTTTTTTTTTCTTACTTTTTTCAACACAGTTCTTACTTGTTTTTAATTATGAATGTGAAGGAAGTCTCATCAGCAGAACTATGATTGTATTTAGCTGGTGATGTATTGTTCTATACACATTGATCAACTGTACAGAATGTTTTATGGAATTGAGATTTTCATCTTTTACAAATGTGTTTTCAGAGTATTTTTTAAATAAATGTTATCTTTTTTTAAACTGGTCACGTGTTTTGTCCCTTAATTGTGAAACGATTGGTCCTCCATTGACTGGAGTCCCCATACATGTGTTAGCGTTTGGCGCCATCTAGTGGTGTTACTGTAACTAGCTCTTGACAATCTCATTCTCTTATTTAACTTTTTTCCAAATAACATCTAAGGGTTTATTGATCTTCACAGAAAATAAACATTTCTTAAGACTTGAGGATGAAATGTTTCTGGCTCTCAGAAAGCAACAAATCACTAACTTTGTCTCGTTCTGGTCTAGTTAAACGTTTACCGCCCCCTGTGTTTTGAAAATGAGTCCACTTCCATAGCAACCTGCAGTGTGTCTGTAATAACACCGAGGTTTGAGGCTGTCCGAAGTTCTAATGTGACTGCCTGGCTTCCTAGCAGCTGGATCCAAGACTGGACATTTGTATTTGTGAAGTGAACAATGTGTGGAGTAGTGTCAGCAGGTGAGATCTTTACTTTTAAGACATTTTAATTGACTTTTTTGGATCTCTAGTTGGTTTTGTTACTTATGTGACTTTGTGTTTTTAAAGAGTTGCAAAACCTTACTGCTGGCAATTTTGTGAGTATAAGTTTGGATTATTGACATGTTTAGTCGATGTTTCCATCAGTTTGTCCTTACTTTGCCTCTTTCCTTTGCAGGAGAACTCTCTGGCCTCTGATGAAGTATTGGCTCACTTCTTCAATGATTTCTTAAGTCTGCCGGTAAGGCTAGTCTGAGTTGTTGATGTAGAATATTTTCACTACACTCATTCTCCCTTCTTCAGAGGTGGAAGAAAGAATCAGATCTTGCGTAGTAGAATACAAGAGTGAAGTGATACTCTGTTACAAGTTAAAGTGACTTCATTCAAAATGTTACTCAAGTAAAAGTACAAAAGTATTAGCATCAAAATATAGTTAAAGTAGCGACAGGAAAAGTAGTCATTGTGCAGATTGGTCCATTTCAGAATAACATATATGATATGTTTTATAATGATTGATCATGAAAGTGTTCTCAAAGCTGGTAAAGGTGCAGCTAGTTTGAATGACTTTGTATACTGCAGGGTAGCTTGTGGATTTACTCCAGGTGGAACTAAAGTCTGATTTAACACTTGATTATATTTCACATCATTCATCCACATCTGTAAAGTAACTAAAGGTAGTAAATACATGTAGTGGAGTAGAAGTACACCATTTACTTCTGAATTGTACGGTAAAAGCACAAACTAGCAAAACATTGAAATACTCAAGTAAAAGTCAAGTACCTAAAAACTGTACTTAAATGCAGTACTTGAGTACAGACGAGTAAAGAGTAGATGTACTTAGTTACTTTACGCCACTACCTTCTTATACCCTTTACCCAGTCCTTCCCAGAGGCCTTACAGTACGACCCTCACACGGGGCAGTTTGAGCTGGTGGACGGGGCGGCTGAGTTTGTCTCCAGAAGGATCCGATCTGTCCTGCACCGCAGCAATTCAAAGCTCCTCACCGGAGACCCCACAGCGCCGGCCAGAACCCCTCCAGTGGACAACCGCTACACTGTCCGTGTAAGCAGTGAATGATCACTATGTGAAAATGGATAGGTGGATAGATTTGTTTTTTCAGAGGAGCAGAACGTCTGGGTTAGAGGGTTGACTTCAGGAATGTGTCTCCCTGTCCTTTGCAGTGCCTGGACCGAGAGCAAGGAATCCAGTGGATCATCAAAGAAAGATTACCTTTTTTTCTTCTCAGTGATTGCTACAGTGAATACAGGTAGTACAAGTATTTAAACCTACTACGTCATGAACAATACAAATGAAGTTTACCTACTTTATACGAACGTTTTTATATATTTACATCGTAACATATTTCTATATTATAAATTAGGCAACATTCTTGCTTGCTTATCTAGATTTGAAAGAAGATTTGCTTCAGTCTTTGATTTGCAAGGTGTACGATGCACTTTGCAAAGTGTACGATGCACTTTGCAAGGTGTACGATGCACTTTGCAAGGTGTACGATGCACTTTGCAAGGTGTACGATCATGCACTTTGCAAGGTGTACGATCATGCACTTTGCAAGTACGATGCACTTTGCAAGACGACGCTGAAGTTGGCTTCCGATTCAGAGCTTCCGATTCGGCAGTTAAGGGGAAAGTTAAGGGAAATTTAATTTACAGCGCTGAGCGAACAATCCTCCGTGTTTGAACCTCTTAAATCGCTGCATAGCCGATTTATTTGGACTGGATTATCCCAGAGAGGCTAAACATTCTTTATAACACAGTTTTAGATTTGTGAAACCTTAATTCTATTTGTGAAAATACAAAAAAGAGAGATTTCAGTGCTTTTTCGCATCCTGGCCACATTAGACCAGGTCCTGATCTAAAACCACTATACCTAGACTCATCAAATCTGGACTGGATTATCCCAGAAAGTCAAAAGATTCTTTATAACACAGTTTCAGATTTGTGAAACCTTAATTCTATTTGTGAAAATACAAAAAAGGGAGATTTCAGTGCTTTTTTCACATTGTCTTGTCTGTGCTCCATGTCTGTTCGTCGTCGTTTCTCGTCTATGATACCTGTTAGTCTCTTTGCTCTTGTCCATGCTACCGTCACGCTCCATGTTTGTTCCTGAGGTTTTTTGTCCTGATCCTTCCTCGTACTCCCCCGGTTTTGGTATGTTAAGTTGTTCCTTGTTTTCTTTTGTCATTCAGCTTTGGGAAATAAAGCTCGCTTTTTGTTACCTGACCTTTTAGTCCTTTTACTGCATTAATGATTTGGGTCCTATTTTTCCCCAACCCTGACACTGAGTCTGCTTCAAATTCACTTATTATCCTCACAGGATCATTTTATTAAAGTTCAAGTAAAACTTACTAAAGCATTCTAACTGTTTATGCTTTAACAGCAATTCATAAATGATCCAGCTTTGCTTTTGGCTAACTGTTTTTGTTGTTCTGCTTTATGATTGTAATGCATGACTGTGCCAACATGTGTCTCCTCCTCCCTGCTCTTGTTTGTAGGCTGCACCTGCTTTTCAGGAGACCAGGCCTCGCAATTATGTTCTTTCTGCCAGTGCATCAGCGGTAAGAGTCCATCACAAACTGCAGGGTCTGTCACCCTGAGCTAGGTGCTAGGCTAACATGCTAACAGGCACAGAGCCTTAGGCCCCGCTCACACGAGGCCGTTTGCATTTTATGCACAGTATTCGTATTCAAAAAAGTCTTCCGTTCACATGCATTTGTTTTATTTAACGTGTCTGTTCAAACGAGGCCGCTGGAAACTCTGTAGTACATATGCTGGGACTGTAAGTGGCGCTGTACTTCCACACGAGACCGCTCGAAAGCTGTAGTACATATGGCGGGACTGTAAGTGGCGCTGTAACTTCCGCCACAAAATACACCAAAAGCAGCGAGTATAAGATCCCCCCCGGATGTGTGTGAGGCACAAACAAAACAAACAAACGAAGATGGCTGTTATTCGCGCAAGAAAGGAGCTATTTTCGTGGTCCGACGACGAGGTGGAACTTCTTTTAAGTGTAACACTTGAGTATAAGACGACAAAAATACAGGATAATGTAGACTGGGAGTCCTGCAAGCCTAAATATACGGAGATAGCCGACTTATTTCAGGCGCAATATCCGAGGACCCCGACTGAAAAAGATTTCCCTCACGAGAAGAACACAATTTCACAGGGCCAGCTTACAGCGAAACTAAAACAGGTACAAGGGGACTTGTTCGACATGGAAGAGTCGTCGCCCGGACCAAGTTCATCCCCGAGTTTGGAGCATTCCACGGATTTGCCAGAGTCGAGTAGATCCAACGGAACTCTGCCAACTGCTGCGGTTGTGAGTCATCGCAGGGATCTGCTCCAGGTATGTTCATGATTTCAATCTTAAAGGGCTTGCTATATACTATGATGCAGTACCTTCCACTGAAAAACTGAACCGGTTTAAGCTTGGTAAAATTAGAAAGTATTTAGAGCTGTTTTATTTGTAAAATGTATTGAGAACTATTTCACAACATGCCTTTTGTGTTCTGTTATCTGGTGGCTATGGTCCTATTGTGTATTAATTCAAACTTTCTCTGGTTTATTATAGGCACGGCTGGACGGCCACAGAAGTGACCGCATGAAGAGGAAGCTTCCAGCTGAACATGCGGTGCAGGAAGAGCTGCGATTAAAAAGCCGGATGTTGGACTTAATGGAGGAAGCAACCAGCCGCAGCGCAGCCAGCATGGATCGTATGAACAACACCATGGACAACATTAATGTGACTGTACAGAATGGCCTTTCCCTGATGAGCCAGTTCATGCAAGTTCATACTAACAACAGTGGATATGGACACTTCCAGGTGCCCTCATACCCACCCCGAAGGCCACACACGGCCACACCAAGATTAAACCCCTCTGTACCACACACACCCCACAGCAACAATCTCCTCCATATTCATTCAGGCGGTCACTGGATGAGGAGGAGCAGTAAAGCAGTGAGCTTCTTTTTTTTTTCACAGCACTTTTTGGTCAAAGGAAGTCTGTAAACATTTTTATTTTTAACTCCACCAGACTTTGTACAAATGGAGAATCACTTTTTTTTTTAGCTAGCAAAGGTATTTTTTTCCCTTTTACTGTGTACACATTTATAAATAATGTTATTAATAAAAAACCTTATTAAAATAAAAGAACAGTCTTGTCTTTCATGTAAGGGTCAATGTACTCCGCAAGCACTCTCCTCACTCTCTTTCCTTCTCCCTCATTACAGTCAGTGAGATATCTATATCAGTGTGTGGGAGGCTGTAAGTCCTTTTCACCTTGTAAACCTAATTTTGACTAAATACACCACATTTATGAAAAGTAACCCCCCCTAGTGTCAAATATCTGAACTGTGATATGTCACATTGGGCCTTAATGGTAAAGCCCAAACTATTGTTAGGCATATATTATAGTCTCAGATATATAAAAAAACATGTCTATGAAGTGTTTTGCTCAAAATACCAAAAAAATTACCCATTATAGCCTCATTCCCTTCTATTTCATCTCTGGAATCAATATGATCAGTATTATGCATTTCACAAAGAAAGTTTGCATTATGATTTTTATGAATTGTATAAATTCAACTTTGATTCAACATTTGCTTATATTACTTTTACTGAAAATCCTCAAATATTGGTTAAAATACTATTTAGAGAAGGGAAGGTAACACAATCTTAACAGGTTAATATAATAGTTTTTTACTACAGTGTATGTACTATGTTTCGCTAGTGACCAATACAGTCTGAAAATACCATATCAAAATGTACGGTTCTTTTACTATATGTGTAAATAAATACGGTACAAAATATATATGGACAACCTGACTCGGTAGAATGGGCCATATAACTTCATTCATGAGGATGATGACATTTGTTGCACATTAAGTTCAAAGAAAGTCTGGAAGTGGTTGCAGCCAATTTTATTTTTAGTTTCACACTTTTGACATTGGAGAATCACATAGTTATTTGCTTAGTTTCACACATGTGACATGCATTAAAAAGTACTAAAAACAGTTAGGATATAATACAAAAAATCCTGTAACAGTCCTCAGATTTAGCAGCCAGGTACATATACCTAGCCAGGTATATGAATATTGTACAGCAGCCTGTCGCTGAAGGAGCTGCACAGTGAGGACAGGGAATGTAACAAAGAATGTTTATCACATCTTAATAAACACCTTTAAAAAAAATGTACAGTCTATGTACATACATGGTATGGCCTCCTCTTTGTCCACAATCTGTTTTTTCAGAGCAGGGATCTTTCCAGTTTTTAAGTACATGTTTAGCTTGGAATTAGCAAAGACCCGTGCATCATGCACACTCCCAGGCCACTTTACCACGACATCCATGAATCGGTACCTGTAATCACAGACAGCCTGTACATTAAAGGAATATTTTCCTTTCCTGTTGATGTAACTAGTGGAGTCGTTAGATGGCTGCTTGATTTCGATGTGGGTTCCGTCCACTGCTCCTAAACATTGTGGCATGCCATGTGTACAATGGAACCCCTCAACCAGATCCGCGGTCTCGGGCTCAGTAAAAGGCAGCTTGATGTATTTTGGACCCAGGTGGATGGTGATCGCTCTGCATGTCTCCCTAATAATGAGGGACAAAGACGGGCGGGAAACTCCGAAGGCGTTAGCAGTCTTCCGTAGCCTTCCCTCGTCGCTCAGGTAATAAAGAACCGCAGCAACCCTTTTCAGTGGATCAATTGGCGCCCTCATGTTTGTAGTTTTCTTCTCGATATATGGGCGCAGTTCTTCAGTCAGGGCAACGACAGAGGCTTTGGACATGCGGAAGTTCTCCCTCCATTCATCGTCCACGACAACGCCATTGACAAAATTGTCCCACCAACTGCTAGTTCTGCCCGGTCTTACCCAAAACTTTCTCCTGGTCGCCCTTCTGGTTGTTCTCCGCGGTGGATTTAGCCACATGTCGTGTATGTGGTTCTTCATGTCCACTAGTTGCTTGTGGTTGTCGTAGAAGCACCGTAGTTGTAGCACTAACATATTAATCATGGTCAGTAGCGTCTGGAGCACAACAGCAACCCTGTGATCCGCCATTCTTGTTGTTGTTGTTGTAGAAACAAATCAGCAATGAGGCGGGGGAGAGGTGGGAAGAGGTGCGAAGAGGCGGGGCTGTCGTTATTTTTTCAGGCAATATTCGTATAGAGGCAATTAAACGGACTCGGTTGACCCCCCAGAGCGTTTCGTTTGCAAATCTATCCACCTTGGGACCCGTTATCGTTTGTGTGGTCAGTTTCTATCGGCCTCGTCTAAATAATAGGGCTATACGCACGCGAAACTATGCAGATACAAGCCGTTTTCTCCTCGTGTAAACGGCGCCTTAGAACACCACATACTCCAAAAGACAGATTATGTAGCTCACATCAGGGCACAGAGCTGCTGCAGCCTCACCTGACCCAGCAGCTCGTTGGCTAAAGCTATTGAATGTTGTGTCGGAAGCATCCTGAGGCCACAGTGGCTTCAGAACATGTATACACTCTATCTTAAAAAACATCTTGAATTTATTTGTAGAAAGTTAGTTTGTTATTTAACAGGTATGGAGACTTTTTTTAGTTTCATACATTTTCAAAAATACATTGTTAGAATTTCTAAAAAGTACTCTTACTCAAACCACTAAAATAATGTAAATGAAGCAAAAGGCTCCTGAAATCCTTTCACATGTACTCACCAGTGTAACGCTGCCTTGCTGGGGTCCCAGTATATTTAAACTGCATGGGATGAGGGCGACTAATGAGCACTGCACATGATATATATATTTGGAATGCTTTATTGATTGAAGTGGGGGCTGCATTTTGAATTCTTAAACAAGTTATGCTTGTCAGACTGTGGCATGACCTTTGCAACACAAATATAATAAAGTGAGCATGTTTAGCAAGTTTTGATATTGTTGCATGCTGTTTATACTTTTTTTGACATAGAAAAACTATGATTACTAATGTACATATAGCTTTACACTGGTATGATCTGGAACTGTGACAGGCTCTGAAAGACTTCAATCCACTTCCGTAGTTGCATTTATGAAGGGAAACAATGGCCTTAATGAGTCCAACTGGTCACAAAAACCAAACATTTTTAGATTTTTAGATCAGGACCTGGTCTAATGTGGCCAGGATGCGAAAAAGCACTGAAATCTCTCTTTTTTGTATTTTCACAAATAGAATTAAGGTTTCACAAATCTCAAACTGTGTTATAAAGAATGTTTAGACTCTCTGGGATAATCCAGTCCAAATAAATCGGCTATGCAGCGATTTAAGAGGTTCAAACACGGAGGATTGTTCGCTTAACTGCCGAATCGGAAGCTCTGAATCGGAAGCCAACTTCAGCGTCGTCTTTGCAAGTACGATGCACTTTGCAAGGTGTACGATGCACTTTGCAAGGTGTACGATGCACTTTGCAAGGTGTACGACAATGCACTTTGCAAGGTGTACAATGCACTTTGCAAGGTGTACGATGCACTTTGCAAGTACGATGCACTTTGCAGTTGCAAGTACGATGCACTTTGCAAGGTGTACGATGCACTTTGCAAGGTGTACGATGCACTTTGCAAGGTGTACGATGCACTTTGCAAGGTGTACGATGCACTTTGCAAGGTGTACGATGCACTTTGCAAGGTGTACGATGCACTTTGCAAGGTGTACGACAATGCACTTTGCAAGGTGTACAATGCACTTTGCAAGGTGTACGATGCACTTTGCAAGTACGATGCACTTTGCAGTTGCAAGTACGATGCACTTTGCAAGGTGTACGATGCACTTTGCAAGGTGTACGATGCACTTTGCAAAGTGTACGATGCACTTTGCAAGGTATACGATGCACTTTGCAAGGTGTACGATGCACTTTGCAAGGTGTACGATGCACTTTGCAAGGTATACGATGCACTTTGCAAAGTGTACAATGCACTGCAGTTATTGTGTAGCTTTCTGTAGCTCTACCTTTCTTTCTGCATCGTGAGAAAAGTCTTTGGGCCAGATCCCTGTAAAGACCAGTTTACTGACTGACACTCATTTATAACACTTCAAAGTTGTGTAACACAAATATCAATTGCCAAGTTTGGTAATTCCATTAACATTGATCATAAAAGAAAAGGTGAGAGAAAATGATGTTCTCTGTGAATGTATTTTTTTTTTCTGTTCTTTCCCAGACTAGCCAAGTTGTTGTTTGAGTGGAGCCCAGTCTTGTGTAAAGGCGGTTCAGGTGGAACCCCCATGTCAGCCCCACAGCTGCGTTGTTCAGCCCAAACTGACCAGGAAAACAAAAAAGCTCTTAAGGTCCTAGCATGCTCACATTCTCAAAAGAACAGTTCAGCAAAAGAAGGTACAGTATATCATTGTGAGATTCCTCCATGTTCACTGCATATGTGTAGGCTAGAGTCTACTGAGATAAGGACTCTTATATGACCTATTTTCTTACTTCTCAGGGTCAATGAGGATGCTCAATGTTACATGTCTATGCTCTGACCACATGGAACATCTCAACACAAAATGCAGTGTAACATTCAGATGCTCTGAGCAGGAGAACATATGTACGTTTTCTTCTTGTTCCTCCTCTAGTCTTCAATGTGGGAAAACCCCAATCCTCCAGGGCACACAAACGGAGCTGAGCCTGCACACTAGAGAGGAGACACTTCTGAAAGAGCCTTCTGAAGTGCAGCTGGAGGAAGTGGCTAAACAGGTGCTGAACAATGCACTGAGCCAGGCAGACACTTCTGATTGTTGGAGCACGTCAGGAGAGCAGACACATCGTAACAGCACACACAGATCCTGTGAACGTAGAGCTTGCATTCAGCATTTGGCTGATGGGGGCACAGACAGGTTGGGGGGGGGGGAAGAGAAACTTCAAGAAGGCAAAAAGAAGAGCGGAGGGGAAGAAAAGACAAAGTGGCCTAAGAAGAATAGAGAGGTAGGGAGAAGAGACAGAGACCAGGAAAATATCCATGGTAATTGTTGCCAGGGTACCTGTTGCCGTGGCAACAGACAAGGCGTTGATGAGTTAAAGGAGTTTTTGCGAGGAACGTCAGGAGAGAAGCTGCTTAATCTCTGGATGGATATAGAGAGACTGAAAGCTCCCCAGAACAGAGAGCGGAAGAACAGGTAAACATTACAACAGGATACAACTTTAACAGCTGCACTGAACTTGGGGGCAACAGAATTACAAAGTGGTCCTGGTTTAATATTGACATTTTTTGACAAAAGCTGCAGCTTTTAAAGACAAAATGAAGTATCAAATGGTGGTGTCTTCATCAGGTATTTGGTCCTCATGAGAAGCAGGTACCTGGTGAGCAGCAGCCTCTCTGTGGAGCTGCTCTCCAGGCTGGGACTCACCACCTCCCCCTGCTGGACGGAGGACAGGCTGCACTCCGTCCAGCCCCCCCTCACAGAGGCTCTGCTCCACTACTGGTGAGATTCACTGTATTCAAGTTCCCTTATACAGTATGTGGGTCAAGTGTTTATTTACATATTTAGTCCATTCATATGTTCAGCACCTGTTTAGCTACTTGATACAATGTGTTTAACTGCATATACTGTAAGACAATAACCTTTATATTTGATGTCATATACTTTGAGTTTTATCCATAGGTTTAGAAAATAATTGTAAAGCTGGTCTGACAAAACAAACAATGTAGAGATTGCAGTTTGGACTGTGGTGACCTTTGCATTATTTCTTATTATTTTCAGATATTAAAGGTGGGGTAGGTACGTTTGAGAAACCGGCTCGAGATCGCTAGAATTTGAAAATACACAACCGGAGAAAATCTGCCACTTCCTTACAGAGCCCCTCCTCCAACACACACGACACATGACCAATGAGGGCACGAGATAAGTTTGTGCACAGATGGAAGGCTGACAGGCAGGTAGGCCATCCAGTTATTTTAGCCGGGCCGGCTAAAATGATTGGTCGTGCTTTTTACAGTATTACGGCTTCCACAGATGACATTTTTTTATGGATATTTTGTCAAAGCACTTAAAATATTCATTGCTATCGGGATGTTAAGAGCATTCCATGGAATATAACAAAAAGTGTATCTCGAGCCGGTTTCTCAAACTTACTTTAACGATTAGAATAATCAGTAAATTATTCCATTATGAAAATAATTATATTTAAGTCAAATCCTCCCAAGTTCTACCTCCACCAACTACAACAACAACACTGCTTTTACCTGTACATGTTATAATCATTTAATAATTGTATAAAACTTCCCTTTAGAGTACTTAACATTTCTTTTTCAGGTGTTTTACTTACATAGTACTTTTACCTGAGTAAAGCATATAAATACTATCTCGTACGTTTGATACATTGATTCCAAGGTATTTATGGATTTAGTTGTGTGGGTGTAGGGAAGACCCCCAACCTCGGTATCACAGTTCAAATGGCTAAGAGGCAGAATCTCAGATTTAGACCAATAAATGGAGGAGCCAGAAACCTTGCCAAAACTGTTAATCAGATTGTGGACTGACGGGAAGGATGTTGATGCTTTTGTTATATAAAGTAGAATGTCATCGGTGTACATGTTATGGTGGAGTGAATTGTTTTAATGCCTGAAATGCTGTCATGTTGTCTTATGGCTGAAGCGAGTGGCAGAGAGTAATGGGCATCCTTTCCTAGTGCCTCTGTTTAGGATGAACGATTGAGATATGTTTCCATTGGTGGTTTCAGATGCTGATGGTGTGTTATATGTCTTAATCCAGTTTATGAAGTAAGGGCCAAAGCCAAAGTGGTTTAAGGAGGTGAAGAGAAAGGGCCACCATAACCTATCCAACACCTTTTCTGCGTCAAGTGACACATTGATGGCCAGAAGGTGATTCATTTCTGTCAGGTTTAGTTTTTTATAGATTTGTTGTGTGGAATATACTTCACATATTTTCTGAGGACTGTCTCCCTCTAATGAAGCCTGTCTGATTCAAGTGATGGGATAACAGATTCCAGTCCGATTTTAACGTCTGTATTTATTAATGACATAGAGCGGGAGCTGTGTATAGGGTCTTTATTGGGTTTTGGGATAAGTGTGATCGCTTTTCATATGATGGGGACATTTTGGGCTATGGAAAGTCTATAATAACAATAGAAAGAATATAGACAAAAGTAATGACCAGAAATGTTTATCGTATTTGACTGGGCATCCATGTAATCCTGGGGACTTGTTATTGGGCATAAGCAGTGCTTTACTGAGTTCATCTACGGTGAGGGGTTGGTCTGCTTTGTAGGAGGAAACAGTCCCTCAGGAAAGCATCAGCGTGGGCAGGTGTAGTGTACAGTTTGTGTACTATTAGTTCAAACTATAGAGTCAACGTTTCTGAATGTTTCATTTATTGCAGTGTGGTCTCATTTCCCAAAGGGGTCTTCGATGTGATGTTAGATCTTTGAGTTTGTTATTTTAGTTGATTTGCCAGAAAGTTGCCATATTTGTTTCCAAATCAAAATGTTGTCGATGGAGTCTGAGAAGGTTTTAAATTAAGAAGATAGTTCAATTCATGTTTGGTTTTGAGTAATTCTGTACTTATTGTTTCTGTAGGCGTTTGAGAGGATAGGGTGTCCAGTCTCCTTACCTCCTGATGTAAAAAAAAGAAGCTGAATCCTATGTCAGGAGAGTTGTTGGTTTCTAGCAAGGATGGTCATTCTTTTTTAAAATAAACTCTAAAATCTGGGTCTTTCAGGAGTAATATGTTTAAGTGCCATCTGGGTGGTGGGTGTGATTACATTTTCGGTTATTTATTTGATAGTGATCTGAGTGTGGTCTGAAATTGTGAAACTGTGGCTCCATGTGTTGCTGATGAGAAAGTAGTCGTTACAGGAGTGCGTTTTGTGGTAGGAGTAATTTTGTGTTGATCATCACCAGTCCACATTCTGACATACTGTTTTTTTTGTAGATGCCTATGAGAAGGATGTTTCTGGGTTTATCGCAGTGTTAATACAGCTACTAAAATAAAGTGTGAATTTGGAGAGTTCTGTGGGTGAGTCAGTGTTTGGGCCGAATGCTGGTTATTGTAAATCTGTTTTTTTTATGTCACAGTGAATGACAATAATTCACCCTTCAGGATCTGTTACAGTGGCTTTATGTGAATATGGTGCCTTTTTGCTTAACAGAATAGAAGCCACGTGTTTTTACTAACTGTAGGTTGAGCGGTAGGTGTCTTCAGCTCCTGTGCAGTTTTGTAGATTCAGTACACCTTCATAAATAAGTATTTCTGTAAATGTTCTTGTTCATTTTCACCTCCTTCTCCCCACAGGGTCCCTCGGTTCTGGACGTCCCACTGTGCCCGGGCAGAGCATGAAGACCCCCCTCCCCTGGAGCTGTGGACAGCCTGCAGTGTTAGCCCTCTGTCAGACACACAGCCCCATCATGGTTCCACCACCATGACCCCCTCCCCCCATTCCGTCCATACTCAGGTAGGAGCATCAGGATTTGATACTGAACCACTTGGTGCATACCTGGTTTGAGGGGGGGAGATGAGCAGAGATGAGCAGCAGTGCAGCTCTCACTGTAGGTTCTCTCAGCAGGTGGGATGCTGCTGTCATGGATAAATGAAGAATATGAACACAGTCACTTAGTAAACAAAAACATAATTTGAGGATTTGCGGCATTCTCTGTTGTACATCATTATACGTTGATATATACAGTGTGTATATATAGATATAGATATATCTATATATATTTATTGTATATACATTTGAGATGTTACACTTGGGTCTGGGAAGCTATAATGGGATTTGTTTACTATGTTTGCACACTGTAGACTACATGATGAATCGTTGTATTGTCTGTTGAAGCAAAAAGGAAAACATCTTTGCATCCATCATTTTCTTCTATTTTTGATAAATGTATTTTATTAAAAGACGTCTCTTCTGTGTTTGTATTTCGTCAGTTATATTCTGGCAGAAGTCAGTTACTGGACAGCAGAAGAATGGAAAAGATGATCCAGGCTTTATGTGCTGACTCGTGTGCCGGCTTATACTTCACACACTTCTGTGAACAATCTGGAAACCAGGTACCATAGCAGCTACTGGTTAGTTTGCCATTTGGATCACATGTCCAGACATATAGTCTTAATTGCACGTTGAAATGAAACTGTTATCGTACATTAACATCTAAAGTGTACATGTCCATGATGACAGTCAGAGGTTCTGTTTTTGTCTCAGCTGTGGGAGAATGCAGTTTACTTTTGGACTGACCTGCAGCACTACCATGAGCTGTTCTATCAGGACGGACTGGACCATTACAGAGTGCAGAGGGAAGCACAGGTCAGCACACACACACACACACACCATACACACACGTTGTTCTGCTCACAACTACCAACAAAGTACTAAGCTGTTAACTACTGTCTGATTTAAATACAGCATGTACATTACATATATATTAGGGTAGTGGGATGGATCTTAAACTAATGTCAGTTCTTTAAAACTGTCACCAACTCTGCTATTTGGAATCATAAGTAAACAGAAGTTTAACAAACTATTGTAAGAGGAGAAGGAATATTCTTTTGTCTATTAAGCAAAAATCCATAAAGTATATACAGTGTGTGTGCATTGCAGTATGATAGTTGAGTTGGATCGTGCTGCATTCCTCATAGGATTGCTTGGTTTTCCTTTTGCCAAAGAATTGCAATACACTATTTGATACATCTATTCGCTCATGATGTCATTACCTTTCCTTACGTTTATTAGGTTATACTTTGCTGTCGATGCCAATTGTACAACACCCAACTAATTTCAAGAAATACAAAATAGCTGCATTTGTGAAACTCTTTTTTTCCATGGAAATAAAATAAAGTTTCATTCAAGTTGCAAGAAAAGAAAAGAGATTGGGTACAGCTGTGAAGAGAGATAGTGGATATTGTGTAGGAGAGCACAGAACAATGGGGACGAGACACGGAGAGGAAGGGATGACACTTTTATGACCTCTCCTCTCTTTCTCTAGAGATAAGAAGAGTAGAAGAAGAAGAAGAAGAGGGAGGAAGAGAAAGAGAGGCTGGAGAGATGACGAGAAGGTCTGCAAGAATGTCACGAGCGGAGGCCCCAGAGAGAAGAGAAGAGAGGCGCAGGAGAGAGGAGTAAAGAGAAGAGAAGGAAGTAGGAAGAAGAGAAGGGAGGAGAGAAGTCGAAAGAGGCGAAAGTCTCAAAGAGAGGGGGAAGAAACTCCTGTCTCAGTAGGGGACAGAGAAGAGAGAGAGAGAATCTAAGAGAAATAAGAAAGCCCTCTCCTCTCTTCTCTCCCTCTCCTCTCTTCTCTCCTCTCCTCTCCTTCTCTCTCCTCTCCTCTCTTCTCCTCTCCTCTCCTCTCTCCTCTCCTCTCTCTCCTCTCCTCTCCTCTCCTCTCTTCTCCTCTCTTCTCTCCTCTCCTCTCTTCTCCTCTCCTCTCCTCTCCTCTCTTCTCCTCTCCTCTCCCTCTCTCCTCTCCTCTCCTCTCTCCTCTCCTCTCCTCTCTTCTCCTCTCCTCTCTTCTCCTCTCCTCTCTTCTCTCCTCTCTCCTCTCCTCTCCTCTCTCCTCTCCTCTCCTCTCCTCTCTTCTCCTCTCCTCTCTCTCTTCTCCTCTCCTCTCTCCTCTCCTCTCTCTCTCCTCTCTTCTCCTCTCCTCTCCTCTCCTCTCCTCCTCCTCTCCTCCTCTCCTCCTCCTCTCCTCTCCTCTCCTCTCCTCTCCTCTCCTCTCTCCTCTCCTCTCCTCTACTCTCCTCCTCAGCTCCTTTACTCCACCTATCTCTTCAGCTCTGCCAGGAGGAGTATTGGTGTAGATGAGGAGATCAGAACAGAGGTGTATGACCAGCTCATGCCTGCTTTTGAGGAAGTGTTTGACAGGGTTGAGGAACACACACTGAACATCCTGCTGGAGCCATGGATGCTGCTGCTCAGCAGGGACAAAGAGTCTTTTCAGAAGGTAGGTACATCCACAGTGTAATGCACTTCCCTTTCATCTGCACAATTGGGCTTCTAGTCTAGTTGCCAGCTGACCAGAAAGTGGCCATATTTGTACTCTCTGTTGGCTGATTATGATTCATTTTGGGTAGAATTTGAAGATTTAGTTGCCTGGACAGATTGCCTATTTATTTGAAACAAAAATGGTCCACAGTAGAGATAATAATGTTCATCTTGTGCTCTATATCCATATTGTTGCAACACTACTCATGGTAGTCAAAATATGCCCAAGAGAGTACACATATTGCCACTTTCTGGTTAAAACTGCCATTTTTAATCCTGAACAAGTCAGAAATGGATTCAGCATACTCAATAACCCCAAAACCACTCAAAAAATGTCCAAATCGGCCAAGCCATTTTTAAACTATTGTTTACATAGGCTACAATGCCAATTTACATTAACACAACTTGTGCTAATTGTGCAAATTGCCAAACTTATGCAAGTTAGCATCCGGCAGTGCTGGGGACTCATACTATACAGCACATTTCTATTTCCGGGTTCACTATATGAGCTTGCAACTAGACTATTCCTTAAGGAAGTCTACAGAAAAATCGACACATCTGACATCTGCATCTATGAACACCGTAAAGATCAAATTGATTAGAGTTTTTAATCATTTGGTTTTCATAACACTTGAATACTGATAAATGACACAAGGTGATGCCATTGCTGTGTACGTATGTGTGTGTGACCATGTGTGTGTGAATTTCCAGGTCTTAATGCAGGACGAGGTGCGTCGAGTGGACAGTCAGGAGTACAGGGACCTGCAGAGTCTGTACGAGGAGTCAGAGTTCCGCCTGAAACAGGTCAGCCAGCATCCACAGGTCTATTTATTATTGGACCTCTGATAAAAGCCATAAACCCACACCTGTGAGCATAACACATCTAATTTCCCAACGTGAACACTAAAGTGTATTGCTTAATAACAATGTTAGTTATCCCCTGGTGAAAGACTGAATGACTTGGCCTGAACGTGCCAATGAGGACATACTGTGGTGCCTTCAGTAAAACCACACCCTATTTTCTTTGCTGTGTTTCTGCTGCTGTGTATCCTCTACAGGTGGAGCAGTCCCAGTCCATATTATTTCCTTCTCCTATTGACCCTTCAACTCCCTTCACAAAGGGTTCCCATGCGCCTAATTCTTGGTCCCGAGTGTCTCCAAATCTTAAAGGCTACCGTCTGGGTTCCTTACTCCGTCACCACCATGAGATAGGACACTTTATGTCCTATCTACAGAATCACGATGCTAGGTGAGAAGTATGAAGAGTTAGTATGTGAAGCAATTGTCCTTTCTCAAATGTACCTAAACGCCAAACACTAAATATATGAATCATTACACTAACATTCACGATATTCACACTAAAATGAAATGAAGGCAGTATGAAAATGCACAGAAGGTAAATTGTTTAAAGGATGTTTATACAGTGAAATGTAGGCCTAATTCCAAACCGACCCATACACACTTCTTCTCCGTCTGGAGTCTCACTCACAGCTGAACCAGGCTCCCCTTCTTTCAGGTGGGGGGCGGTTGTAAGGTCCTAGCCAGCAGGTTAATGTTTTGTTATCATTCTGATATTCCTGTTTTATTTTGTTTCTCACCTCTCATTTCAGTGTCAGCACTTCCTGACCTTGATTTCGCCCCACCTGCGTAACCATCCCTAATTAGTCTCTCACCTGTGCCCCATTATCATCCCTCCCCCTGTCTTTTCAGTCTGTGTCCACATTCCCCTCAGTGCCAGTTCGTCTTTGTTCTTTCAAGCGTTCTAGCAGTATTTTTCCCTAATATTGAGTTTCCACGTGTCCTGACCCAGCTTCGTGTCCTGACCCAGCTTCGTGTCCTGACCCAGCTTCGTGTCCTGACCCAGCTTCGTGTCCTGACCCAGCTTCATGTACCTGACCCAGCTTCGTGTCCTGACCCAGCTTCATGTACCTGACCCAGCTTCGTGTCCTGACCCAGCTTCGTGTCCTGACCCAGCTTCATGTACCTGACCCAGCTTCGTGTCCTGACCCAGCTTCGTGTCCTGACCCAGCTTCATGTACCTGACCCAGCTTCGTGTCCTGACCCAGCTTCGTGTCCTGACCCAGCTTCATGTACCTGACCCAGCTTCATGTACCTGACCCAGCTTCGTGTCCTGACCCAGCTTCATGTACCTGACCCAGCTTCATGTACCTGACCCAGCTTCGTGTCCTGACCCAGCTTCATGTACCTGACCCAGCTTCGTGTCCTGACCCAGCTTTGTGTCCTGACCCAGCTTCATGTACCTGACCCAGCTTCGTGTACCTGACCCAGCTTCGTGTCCCTGACCCAGCTTCATGTACCTGACCCAGCTTCGTGTACCTGACCCAGCTTCGTGTCCTGACCCAGCTTCATGTACCTGACCCAGCTTCGTGTACCTGACCCAGCTTCGTGTCCTGACCCAGCTTTGTGTCCTGACCCAGCTTCATGTACCTGACCCAGCTTCATGTACCTGACCCAGCTTCGTGTCCTGACCCAGCTTCATGTACCTGACCCAGCTTCGTGTCCTGACCCAGCTTCATGTACCTGACCCAGCTTCATGTACCTGACCCAGCTTCATGTACCTGACCCAGCTTCGTGTCCTGACCCAGCTTCGTGTCCTGACCCAGCTTCATGTACCTGACCCAGCTTCATGTACCTGACCCAGCTTCGTGTCCTGACCCAGCTTCATGTACCTGACCCAGCTTCATGTACCTGACCCAGCTTCGTGTCCTGACCCAGCTTCATGTACCTGACCCAGCTTCATGTACCTGACCCAGCTTCGTGTCCTGACCCAGCTTCATGTACCTGACCCAGCTTCGTGTCCTGACCCAGCTTCATGTACCTGACCCAGCTTCATGTACCTGACCCAGCTTCGTGTCCTGACCCAGCTTCATGTACCTGACCCAGCTTCGTGTCCTGACCCAGCTTTGTGTCCTGACCCAGCTTCATGTACCTGACCCAGCTTCGTGTACCTGACCCAGCTTCGTGTCCTGACCCAGCTTCATGTACCTGACCCAGCTTCATGTACCTGACCCAGCTTCGTGTCCTGACCCAGCTTCATGTACCTGACCCAGCTTCGTGTCCTGACCCAGCTTTGTGTCCTGACCCAGCTTCATGTACCTGACCCAGCTTCGTGTACCTGACCCAGCTTCGTGTCCTGACCCAGCTTCATGTACCTGACCCAGCTTCATGTACCTGACCCAGCTTCATGTACCTGACCCAGCTTCGTGTCCTGACCCAGCTTCGTGTCCTGACCCTGTTCCTGCCTAATTCTCGTCTGTTTTGGTTGCCTTC